CCAAAGTCCAAATGTATCTGTGATCATGGTTTTACTCTATCATTAGTTTGCAAGATGTCTGAAGAAGTCGATCTTACAACAGCGTAATTACGTTGATTTTTGTTCTCGTGAAGTAATTTCGTTATCACGAACTTAAATATATGTATGGTCGAGTGTCAGTGCATGCAAATAATACGAATCCGTTGCCACGATTCGACATCAGAAACGACATAGACCAAAAAGAGCCAAGGCAAGTAAACAACATCGCCGCATTGCGAATAATCGTCGAATCACCCCCTTCTCAAACATACACGCATCGCTATATATTAATATTAGTCTAAGTAATTTTCGTAATATTCCCTGCCATTTTTTTTCTTCTTTTTTTTTTCCCCACCAAGAATGAACGCGTACGCGCGATGGACGAAGGCAAAGGTAGCGAATCAATAGGTCGCATGTTGAACAGGCAAGAAGTCCGGGCTGGCACGGGAGCATGAAGGTGGAGGGTGAAACGGCGGCCACCGGTACCTTCCTGCACAAGGTGAAGGTGAAGGAGGAGGCCAAGGAGTACTTCGGCTACCAGCAATCGTCGGAATCGTCGTCGTCGACGACCGCAGCGACAACAACGACGACGACAACGACGACGACGACGACGGCGGCGGCGGCGGCCACGACCACGACGACAACGACGACGACGAGTACAAAGACAACAACCGCGACAACGACCACGACGACGAGCACGACCACGGTTACTGGCACGCCGACAACGAGCAAGTCGACAACGTCAACTTCAGCGGGAACGGTTGCGAGCGTGGTAACGGCGCCTAGCTCGAGCACCATCGTCACCAGTATCGTCAACAGTACCAACGGCGGGGCCTTGAGCGTCGCTGCCACTCCACCGACGATAACCACCGTACCGAACGCATTGTCACCGGCAGCCACCGCTACTCTGCATCAACCTTCCAGCCTAGTTTGTCACCTATCGGCGCCGGCGTCCTCCGTCCTCGTCAACGCCGACCCGTTCCCCGTCGATCTCGACCTCAAGACGAAGATCAAGGGTGGGTCTTTTCTTTATCTCCTCGTTCGGGGCGACCCCCCTGCGCTTCGTAACTGATCGTTAAAGCTAGCCGTTCCACGTAAAAACTGTCGCCAGAACAGTCGCACTCGAGAGTATTTCTCCAGGAAATCTTCTCGTTATTTTCAACGTGTCGCGCGCGTCGATTCTTTCATCAAGAAGAAAGTCAGAAAACAGTTACAATACAGTTTTCAAAGTTTGACCATCCTGTGCATTTTTAGACGTCGCGTATCATCGTTCAAAATATACAAATATAACACACGATGCCCAACAAGTAGAAACGACGTCTGACGCGAGACGTGTAGTCGCCCAAATAGTCCGCGAGCGAAAAAGAAAAGAAAACGAAAAAAGAAGAAAAAAAAAAAAATACAAGAAACCAGAAAAGAGAAAGAAAAAAGCGGGAGAAAAAGGGGGGAAAAATATATCCGCGCGTATTTCGAGCGTTGCCGCGCGAGAACGTTCGTTTAGGTTGGGCTGTGGGCGCGTCGAACGTTTAGTTCGGAATATTGCATAGGGGTACCCGTATATCTAGTCCGCGGCCGTGCTCTCGTCCAAATCGTACGTTCGGGTTGAACAGGTTATCTAGCAGACGGGAGCTGTGGAGCCCGCAGCTACTTTGGAAGTGGGGCTGGGGGAAAAAAAAAAAAAGGGCCGCGTCGCTTCTCTCGTCAAAGCCCCGTCCCTCTCATGGTCCGCTCGTCCGCAACCATCCTGGGGATTCCATCCTTTCGTCTACGCGTCCGCGCGATCGATCGATTTTTCGGACTCCCTCCGCGGAAGACGAATCGTTTCTTCCAGGTTGCTCGGACGCTATTGTTCCGATCTTCGAAAGAAAACTTCGAGGCGAAATTCGTTTCTTCCGGCTTTCCTTTCAGGAAACGACGCTAATCCTCGCGCGATTTCCATTAACCTCTTGCGCCAGCTACCTTCTAAATTATAAATATTCTAAATAATATATATAACATTTTATTATTATTATTATTATTGCCATTTTATTGTTATTATTATTTATATTAACTTCTTGCGCTGGTGTGACGTGCCGCGCACGCCGAGAACTTTTCTTTGTCCCAAACATTTTGCAACATTTTCTCAGTTTTAAGTATATTTAAACATGACCCGGGCAGAATATATATATATATATATAAATGACAAGTTTATTGCTTCTGAATAATTTCTATCCAGCAATATCATAACGTACCGACGTGTTCAAAAGGAAAGCGACGAATAATTGTGTACGGTGTTCGGTCACTCGTTATGGTCCGCAAACCAGTTTGCCAGCGCAGAAGCGGTTGATTAAAAGAATTTTTTTTATATATATCTTTACCGTTTATATTAAACAACGAAAATTAAATAATAATAATAATAATAATAATAATAATAATATAAAAAAACACCTTGCGTTCGATAAAAACAAAACGTGAAAACGGTGAATCCGCCGCGAGCAGCTAATCGATCGTTTCGATCACCTCGACAGCTCTAGTAAAACCGTGCAGTTGTAAAGCAAATTAATTAGTAAAGCGAATTTATTATTTCGTGCCGACAGTCGCGAAGAGTTCCGCGGAAACGAGAAGTTATAGGTTAACGCGACGGCTGGTTTAAGGGGAGGTAATCGGGGACAGGCGCGCGAGATTTCCTTCGAGGGTGCCTCCGGTGCAGGTCGTCCGGTGTAAGCGCGACCGCGCGTCGCGCGTGTACTTGTACATAAAGCACGCTCGAGAAGCAGAAGCACGAGAAAAAAAGAGAAAGAGAGAGAGAGAGAGAGAGAGAGAGAACACGTGCACGAGAGCCGATGGGGATGTATGTGTGTGCGCGCGCGAGAGCGATCGTAGAAGCGCGCTCGACGGGGAAACTCTTGCGAACAGTCAGTCAAGCCGGGTGGTTGGTTGGTTGGCCTCGGTGTGTTGGTTAGGTCGGTTGGTGCACCGGCTGACTGCCTGGACCAGACGCGATAAGGCACGTCCAACGCTTCCAGCGGGATTCTGCTCGAGGCTGATATCATATCCGGTACACCGTCGGCATCCCCGACGTTGCCGTTCGAGGTATTTTGCGATAGTCGCTCGTACCACCGCTCGCCGAAGTACTCGCGCGCTCGTTCGCTTTAACTCGTGCCTTCCTCCGCCTCTGGATATGCTTACAGCGTGCAGTATGTACATATCTACGAAAACCTACGGGCGAGAGGGGGACGCATCTATCTTCTTTCTTTTCAGCTGACGACGATCGTCGCACGTTGCCCCGATTTATGCGTTCGCGGATTCCGTTTCTCCTCTTCCGGTGATGTGCGTAGCTTCTCCAATCGATCGTGAACGTCGTTGAGCATTCGTGAATCCATCATTCACTCCAAAGGCCTGGAGAAGGGTAGGGGGCTCGCTTTCTTACCTGCTACGAGACACGGCAGGAAAGAAGACGGAGGAAAGTTGGGAGGGAAACCCTGAGGGAAGAAGGTGGAAAAAGAGAGAGAGGGCGAAGGGAGGAGAGACGAATAGGGGAGCATGGGGTGCGGCTAGGAAGGGATTGCGATCAAAGCCATCTGTTGCATTGTCCCGGCAATTAGGAGGCGACAGCTGAGTCCCAGCGTACTTACTTCCACCCAGGGGACTCTCAGCCGAGTGGAGCACGTGCGCTTTATCGATCTCTCTTGGGTGCTCGTGGAACGGTCGTCTACGAAGACAACGAATCCGCCTCCGAACGCTGCTCCGAACTCCCGTGTGCTCCAGGTGCTGCCGAGGCCGCCGCCACGGATGCACGTTTCTAGATACTCGAATACGATTCCTCTCTTCGGTAATCGCTTCGTTTCCCAACCAGTCTTCCGAACGGCAGTCAGCAATCGTCGCTCGTGAATTTTTACGTCACGTTTCTCGTTTCTCGTGTATGCCTCTCCTCGCCTTCGACCATTCTCTTACCCACGATTTCGAAAAACGAAATGGACGAGTTACGGATCAGGGGTATCGCTTGGGCGGGGCGAACGTTGTTATTATACGAGCCGGATTTGCGATCGATGCGGTCGCGCGAACGGCCGTAAGGCGCGTTCCCGAGGTAGTTCACCGCGAGTTTGGATACAGGTAATTAGCTGTTGGCGCTGCCGACGTCAGGTGGCAGTGACACGGCACCGCGGCAGCGCACCTTCTTCCGTTTGACCCCACGCCGCGTTTAGCAAGCGCTTAGCAATTTACGCAACTCGACGCGGAAGCAGCGCGTGTAAGCCGACGATGTCGACGACGTCGAGCAACAGCGAAGGAAACAAACAAACAAAAAAAAAAAAAAAAAAGAAAGAAAGAAAAAGAAAAGAAAAACAGAAAAGAAAGGAAAAGCGATAATCGGTTCACTCGGTGAAGCGTTCTCGGTACGTTACGATTGTCATTCCGCTGTCCGCGGTGTTGCAGACACGCGAGACAACGAGACGACGAGGAGACAACGCGACGAGTGGTTCCTCCTCGTTGTATAACTTTTCGTCACTGTGGTGTGGTACGTATTCGACGGCGGCGTTTTGCCACGCACACCAGCGAAAGCCGAAGGCATTCCGCGGAGATAACGCGCGGAACACGGAATGGGAACAAGGCAAGGTGGATGACACGGCCCGTAATTGCATGTTATCCGCTGCACCCACGCACAGAGCACACGGTTGACGCGCATCTGTGCCTCGTACACCGGTGCCACTCTGTGTACGCCTATGTGTGTGTGTGTGTGTATGCGCGCGCGCCTATCAACGCGTTTGTAAACGAGTGGCCGATTCGCCTGCCCGTTTCACGTGGTCCGTGGTTGACGTGGCTCCCCGGATGTACCGAGCACAAAGGACGTTTGCGGCCACCCCGTACCCCCTGCCCCCTCCCTTTGCCGCGCTAAACGCTCTCCCTCGACTTTACCTACCGAAACAAATCGTACTTTTTCCCTTTGACGTTCTCCTTCCGCGATCCCCGACGTCGCGTTTCCATCGTCGATATTTTGCTTTCAGTCACCTCGGCGGCCAGAGACAAGGCTTCGCGCGAAGATGTCCAGTCGGAAGATGTTCACTCGCCCTCCTCTCACCATCATCACCACCACCACCACCATCATCATCATCATCATCAGCAGCAGCAGCAGCAGAAGATCGGCGGGCAAACGAAACAGGTCAACACGCCCCGAGCAGAGTACAAAGGGACGAGCTCGGGAGTTTGCTCGGCATCCTCCGACAGCGGCAGCCCCTTGCCCTCGCACTACCTCAAACCGGAATCGGAGGACGCGGCTGGTTCCGGAAGCACCGACACCGCCGGCAGCACCGGCAGCAGCGCTAACGGATCCGTGGCCAACTGCAGAACGGAAGAGCAAAACGATGGATCCGCACCGTCCAACGGCAACGGCACCGCCGCCAACGCCAACGCCAGCAACGGCGGCAGATGCATCGCCGGTGTGTTCGCTGGACACGGCGAGCTGAAGAGCGTGCTCGGCACCGTCGTCAAATTCGCCACGGGCATCTCTCCTGACACCGGCGACACCGTGCTCACCTTGGTGTTGGCGCTTCTGGTAAATCCGAGCACACTGCTCGCTGTTTTCTTCTCGCCACGTTTCGTTCTTGAACATATTTTTCTTCTTTTCTTTTTGTGGACAGGATATTCGATATCTTTACGAGATAAAGGAAAAAAAACGTACCGTGCACGGAAGTTTTTGGGAAAAAGGGAGCCTCTATTTCTATGGTGAATGGTGAAATATCCGTGTGCTACCTGTACACTTCTTTACACCTTCAAGAAATTCCAATCTCTGTTCAACATCTGGCGATAGTGATTGAATAATTTTAGTTACGATTCCAATAGTTGCGGTCGACTGTGCAAATTTCTCCATTTTTTTCAGCTTCGTGTTCATTTTAAATCTAGCTGATGCTAGATTAGAAACGTGTATTTCAATCGTACAATCAAAATCTAGTAATGTATGTTAAAATTCATCTAAATTATAATTTAGAGTCCGATACTATTGTCTTTAGGACGTTAGAGATATTTTGGCTCGCTTGCTCATCATCGTTTTTGTTTAAAGCTTTCAAAATAATTGGTTAACTCCCTAATCAAACTCGTAATGAAACACAGAAGATTCAGTACTGTTTCATCCATTATCAAGCAGCCAATCATTCGCTTTATCATACTCGCATTTTGTATCAAACTCCTGAGAGTGTTGCACTCACCACAAAGCTCATTGTAATACCCGCATTCAGCAAGCAAACGCAGTGTTATACTCCCACTAAGCAGTAAACACTGTGCTCAATCTTCAACTCGTTCCAAGTGTTCATTCAGAAATTCGTACAGTCCACTGACAGCTCGCGAACGTTCAGGCATCCTGCAAGCACATTTTTAAAAATATGAATCTGCTTAAGAACGGTAATATTATGTACGTTGCATTACAACACATTGCAATATATTGCATTATATTATAACGTGTTGTAAATTTTTATTACTGTATTTTGTTGTATTATAATGTTTTTTATACTTTTCCTTTTGCAATATATAATTAACATCTGTTTATAATATGAATAATATATTACAATATCTATAATATATATTGATATGTATATCAATGTTATAAATATTAATATTAATATTAATATACATGTATAATACATGATATTAATATTAATATATTTTATATATATGATATATATATAATATTGATATATATTATAATATCATATTAATATACAGGGCGTTCACTTATCTTTTCATAAGGAATCATCCCCTGCTCTACTTCCCACATACTACAGATTATATTATTTGCTTCATATTATATTATTTATTACATATATACATAACCAAACAATGAGTCACTATATGCAAAAACTAACATTTTATAAATATATATATATATATATATTTATATTTATTTATAATTACATATATATAATTATTTATAATTACATTATAAAGTCACTATATAAAAACTAACATTTTATAAATATATATATATATATTATAATTATTTATAATTACATTATAAATTCATTATCAGTAACAAAACAAGAGACGGCAACAAATGTGCACGCGCCACGTATCCTATCAAGGATGTATTAAACCATTCTCCTTAATTCTCTCTGTCAGTCTTCCCCTTTCGGAATATCAGAAAAGAACAAATAAAAATCGCTTTAAGACTCAGGGGGAGATCGTTTCAAACCGCACCGGGAATATTCGAAATACATACGTATATGATCTCGCGCGTTTCAGAAACGTGACACCTGCTACTACAACCCCGTGTGCCTGGCCGAAACGATCGCGGCACGTGACGAACGTGAAATCACCCTAGCGAACCTCGTTTCCTTAGTTCTGGCAATTATCCAAAGAGGTAAAGGCGAATTTTTCTTCTCGCAGAGCGGCACCATGACTGCGGAGGAGTTCCACTCGGCCCTCCAGGAAGCGACCAACTATTCTCTGAAAGGGTTTGTCTTGCCACATCTGAAGCAGCAATTACCCTCCCTGCAGAGAGACTTGAGCAACGCTGCCAGAGCAACTAACCAAGTGAGTTCGATTCGATTTCCTTACAGACCTGTGTGACACAAAAACTTGATTTTTTTATTGTAACATGATATTTTCGAAAAATTAAATATTACATATATATATATATATTAAATAACTTTTAATATATATATATATATATAACTTATTATTATAGATAAATAACTTATTATATATATATTATACATATTATTATTATTATTATTATTTATTAAATAACTTTTTATATACATATATATTAAATAACATTATTATATATAATTATTAAATATTCAGTACATTAAAAGCAATTTCGTATCGAAATACCATTTTAGCTAACATAAACCCAAGAAGTCTTTCAATTCTTGACCAATAATATAATGGAAAGCAGAAGAACGCGACGATCGGGGGGATCATAATTTGACTTGCTCACAAGACGTCGCTCCCCGTGTGCCGATTCAGATTTCTCGAACGCTTACTTTCGACTAGTCGTGCACCGATATAGATGAAAGTTATATTACGCACACGCTCGTTAAACTTCGTCGAACGAGGAGGCGGCGGGGAGGAGGAGACGCGTTCGAGAGTAGCGAGTAAAATCAACAGAACTCGGGCTGACCGGCTGTCGACCTGTTTTAATTTCCCAGGTTACTTCGCGGCTCGCGGGTGGGGCGCGCCCAGCCTGTTTCATGGAAAGATAGACGAACGAATCGAAGGTAAAGACCAACTTTAAAAGTCTCTGCCTTGAGAAAAGAATCGCTCTCTTTCTTTCTTTGGACGTAAGTTACAGGGTGTCCCACGTATTTTTCGAATAAAATGACAACTTAAACGGTACAACCCTATATAATGTAATTTTCATTATTTCTATTTCTCCAATATTTTTTTTCTTTTTTAAATCAAATTTGTTATAATAAAAATACCTAGAGTCCACATTTTTCCTATCCAAATATTCCTATTTTTCAAAAAGAAAAAAAAAAAAAGAAAATCGACTTTGAGAATTTGCCACGCAGCATATACTTGAATTTGACTGATTTCTTTACAATTTAATTGCCTTCTTTTCGCGTCGGAAACACCCTGGAGATACTCGTTCTTTCCTTTCCAAAAAAGAAAAAAAAAAAAAAAAAAAAAAAAAAAAAAAAGAAAGAAAGAAAGAACGTGAAAGCTAGGATCACGGGAAAAGAAGAGGCGTGAAAAAGGGGTTAAAAGTG